TTACTGAAGTTACTATGTATGCATAGCACAATTTTTGCCTTTCACTGACTCAGGAGCTTTAAGAGAGTTGCCAGACCTCCTTCCTAAAGTTTTTATAATCAACTCTACATTTGAAGTCTTAATTATGATGAAAGCTGAAAGTACTATTAAAGTAAATTTACTTTTCACCTTTCTGCAATAAAAGATTTGTTTCAAATTTGGTTTCTTGTACTGTTTGTGAATATCTTAATTTTTGTTTATCTGGCTAGCATAATTTTCTATTACATAAATGTTTACTGAAACTGACCTTGCATTGCATTATCAGGTAAATACACATTTAAATGCAGTTACTTATGGAGGCCTTTAGGTTTGTGCAATGCTAGTTCAAATTACAATGATGTATGCAATGTGTTATTAATCCATACATTAAAACCAGTAAAACTGGGATTACTTATTTGGTGTTTTCTTTCCTTTTTTCTTAAAGACGCTTGGGTTTATGTACTTTTAATTCCACATCTGATAATTTAGAATATGGATATAATAACTTCTTCCCACTGGTACTTTCCTTTTTTCTAGTTTAAGGGTCAGTCTTGGATGCTGCGTTTGAGTAACAGATTTTACAAAAAGCCATGCTGTTGGGTATCTGCCCTATTCATTTCTTTGTAGTTGTTTTTTCTTTTCTTTTTGATTTTGCTATTATATCCTACTTTGTTGTATGCCAGTAGCATCATGATAAAATAAGCACTGTTAACCTGCTGAGAGTCAGCATCAGGAGGTTAATATGTGGTCAAAGGTTAATTTACCAGACAGAAATCTCATTAGGTTTTCAAGGTTTTCCTGTAGTCAGTCACAGTTGTTATTTTATTGAGTCTGCAACAGACTATGTTTTAAAAGTTGCTGCTCAACAGTTGTTTGGGTGGATGGCATCCCTTTTGTTGTACATCAGGCCCATAGGTATAATTGTTTACTGGGAAATGTCTGAAAGGAATCGTTACGCTAAACCTTTTCAAAAAAATAAGTGAGATTTTTAAATTACTATTATTTAAGGTTATTCTGAAATTTATTTGCATATTACAGTTCAATTAAGTTTATCATTTTTTGGAATAATTTACTTGGGTGTAAGCATAATTTTAGGAAGGTGTCCAAAAGTTTTGCTTTTTTAGCATAAAGAAATTTTGAGTGTAATTCTCGGTCTTGTTATCAAGTACTTTCATTTTGTTTTTCATATTGAATTTAAATTTAATCACAGTAGATTATGATGGTTTACTTTTTTTTTTTTTTTTTTTAAATTTGAAAACATAGTTACATTCTTCTCACATTTTCCAGAAGCAATTGTTGTTTATCAAACCTTCTCTTTGCTCTGTCTGTCTGGATTTACTTCATTTTTTTTATGTTACAGCAATTATTTGTAGTTCTACAGTGTGTAAAATCAAGAAAGAAGTATATATGTCATTGTCCTCTTTCAGATAAATGTGTGGAATATATATTGCCATTATAAAATAGAAATAATAGATTATTTTCAATATATAGTGAAGCTTTATAGTGTAATTGAACATGAGTACTTTTAAAAGAAAACAAATGTCTTGCTTCTAAAATAGTACCATTAGAAAAAGCTGAATTTTTAAAGCCATTTTTTCTAGTAAAATAAATTCAGCACATTTAAAAAATATTTTAAATATGGTAAAAAGTCTTCAGTCTTATAAAATAAAAATAAAGAGATTCTGAGGTTACTTTTTACTTCTACAAAAAGATTATTATTTTTTAAAAGTCCTGTTTTCCAAAAATAGTGATTGAAGCATAGAAACTTTAGTAACAAGGAACCAAAACAAAGTTACAAGAATTTTGAACAAACTTGCAGAATTACAAGATGATTATGGTGGCTACACCAGTTTACATGTAAGACAGGTGTGACTGGTGATGGTACAAGACTGCATTTCTGCACACAGGCTGTGGAGTTGGTTGCCAGTAGATATGTGAGGTGGGTTTTATTTATTTATTTATTTATTTTTCCTGCAAGCATCTACCTCTTAAAATTTCCCTGAGTACCACTCAGCACAGTGGATAAACAGAGAGGAGCATAAAGAGGGCTTCAAAATAGCTTTATTCTTCCTTCCCTTTCCAGCATGTGTGAAAGGGCCAGAGAGGGGGAGGAGGGAAGGCAGAGGCATGTGGTATAAGGAGTGACAGCAAGCAATAAAGTGTGTCTCCTGCCAGGACACCTTTTAATGCACTGCTTCTTCTGGAGTTAAATGTTGACCTCCTCTGGCTCTGGGGTGCCAAATCTGTGGCCATGGGGGTGTGTGTGCTGGAAAAGTGGCCACAGTGCTGTGCCAGCAGCCTGTGATGTGCAGGGAAGCACATGATGGGATTCAGAGGTGCAAATGTCACAGGTGGTGCCTAACAGCTGATGGGCCTGAGGTCCCTTGGAAGCTTCAGTTGGGGCTGGTTTAATAGCTGCCAGGGATGCCATGAATCCAAACAACTGCTGAGTAGCAGCTTTTACAACACACCAACAATGATGAGTGCACTGTTTAAAGCTAAGCCAATCTATCACTGATTTTGGTTTAGAAAGAGTACACAGTGAAGTCTGGTGCTTTGGGAGCTGGTTGACAAGATGTTCATCAAAGTGACATGGATGACTGGAGACAGACGTTTCATCAGTTTTGCTGGTTAAAGTGGTCACAGGTTCTCCAAGGACAGATCTGTAGCCATGGACTTTCCACAAGGCATCATCATTGACTTGGCAGCTGCTCTAGTCTGGGTAGGAGTATAAATAAGAAAATGATGGCCTCATTATCCACGAAATTTCATTTGTACCTGGAGCATTTCGTAGAGCTTTATTCCCCTATTATGTCACAAAAGTGGCTTACAGGAGTAGCAGCACAGAAACTTGGCCAAGAACAGGATAAAATTATTATAGGTTTATGCAACATTTAGAATATAATTACTTTCTTGTAATTCCAGGTGTGCCGGGGTGCATGTGTGGAAACAGAAGCAGCAAGAACACAGAAAATAAACTGCTGGAAGTGGACATTTTCCCTGTCGAGGCAGTATGGGAAGGACAGAAGTGGTGGGAACATGATCCTTTCCCCTTCCTTGGTTGGACAGGACAAGTAGCAAGTGAGTATGAACAGTGAGATCAAAAGGAGGGGACAGAAAAAAAGGTTGTGGTAGAAAGTAATACGTGCCAGAACAGAGTGTAGTGAAACAGCTGTGATTTTCACAACGAAGTAGTATAGAAGAAGTAGCCTGAATGTTGTTAATACCACTGCAGGCAATTTATGCAAAAGTAGGTTTCTTCAGCTGCCTTTTCACCCCTAGCTATAAAGAAAACCCTCAGAAAGGTCTGAGGGCAAAGCTGGGCTTGCTAGCTTGGGGCTGTGCCTGTTAATTGTTTAACTGTATCAGATCATAAAAATCTGAAACTTTGTATCTTACAGCAAGGCAGTGTCCTGAATACCCACCTGATTGCTGTGATACCTGGAATTCGGTGCTTAATGAGGGGACAACTACAGCTGCTATATAAAACCACACAATCTGTTTTGCTGTATTTTGGCTAAAAAGAAAAAGCAGAGCTTTTGGGCACAGCCCTCCAACAGCCACTCAACCCTCCTACAGCAGCACACAGAGAAAAGAGGGCTCACTTCCTTTGAGAAGTCCTCAGAAATCCTGAACTTGATAGGTCCTGGCACCACTGAACCAAAAAAAAAAAAGACCAAACCCCTAGATCCGGTGCTTGGATGCTGCCAAATTCTGTCCACAAAACCTAGAAATTATGTCATCCTAGCAGAAATAACAATTGCTTTCTATGATTCATCTATGAAACCCCAAAACAATCGCGCAACCACTCCGGGATACCACTAGATCCTGATGGAGCGGGGCAAAGTCTCCACCGATGTGGCTTGAGCCCCTGACCGCACTCACCTTTTCCTCACCTCTGGGCTCCCGCGAAGTTTTGCGGGACTGCTCTTCCACCAGAGAAGGCGTCTGTTTGTGTGTGTGTGTGTGTGTGTGGGGGGGGGGGCG